TACACAGTATACTCGTGGTTTTATTTATTAATTCACTAATATTTTAATATTATATTCGTGCCATTTTTTTTTTAGTTGCCTGTATTTTATTTTATTTATTAATTGTACTATTTTACTGCATTTAAATATTAGTAAAAAATATTTAATTTAAAAAATGATCAAGGATTTGTTGCTATTCTAAAAGGTTATTTTATAACATATGCTTTCAACAGTCTTAAAAAATGCTATTTTGATTAAGTCACATCTTCGGTTGCAAATATTAAAACTGCTTTACAGTTTATATTTATTTTAAGAATTTTTAATTCAGAAGATTATAATTATTACATAAGAGTTCTTGTATTACATTTATCTACTTGTATATCTCAATGCATATTTCAATTGTTAATTTCGAAGATCATAATTATCGCATTTCAGAGTAATTTTATTATATTTATATATGCTCGTACATTTTAATGTATACAGTCCTATAAGAAAAAGTATATCTGGTATTTAAATAAATGATCATAATTACTTATCCTAATTAAAAATTGCAAGTTATTCTGACATTCACCTACAATTTATATTTCGTAAATAACCTGTCACCGATCTATCTTTCGTAACTTCGTTTTGTTTTCGCTATATTTTAAATGGCTTAGCGCGGCATCGCATGCACATATATGATGGCTTTATCATTCTGTTGTAAAGCCGAGGCCTTATGCCCAGTTGTGTGACTGACTTCCTGCAAATCTAGTTATCAATAGCTTTATACACGAACGATCAATCATACAGCTTCTATGTATGACAGAACTAAAAAACATTTAACAATCAAACATGATCTCTATAGATGCTTCTGTGAACTTGCAATCCACTTTAATTGGAAATTGAATCTTCATTGAACGAAGAAAGAACGATTTAATAATTATGTAAACACAAATACAATTACGTAAGGTAATATTGTAACAAATGAAACACGTAGATTAATATTAACAACAACACAATTTTAAAACAGGAAAAGATGTTCCGCTTGCAATTATGCGTTACCATATTTATAAGAACGTCTACCAATTAATTAAAAAATAATGCAAAAGATGTTGTTAAATGACATCTAATCGATCCGAGAGGTTCACATCCTTTTATAGTAAATGCAAAAATCGTGCAAAAAAATAGTGTCAGGAACATTTGAAAAAGGTAAACACGGCGATTCCTTTCATCGAGGACACATTGCAGTTCATTTGCAGTATTGTACGAAGTGAGAGGAACACGGAAGTTCGGCAATATGCGCATTTAACGTACTTTGCACAATAATTTCTGCATTGCACATGTAGGTGTTTATAAAGACGGAAACTGAACACAAAATTTTAGTTCTCCTATTCTACTATACAGGGTGGTCCAAAAAATCGTGATATAACTACTCGGTTTCAGCAACTCTACATACAAACGTAAATTAAGAAGAGGATAACATTTCATTTTCACTTAAGGCTCCGTTTTCCAAAGAAATTGAAAAATAATACGATTAAAAGAAAATTCTACTTTCTGTCATACTACAAAATTCGCGGTACAACTTATCTGTTAAAAAATTCATTTTGTTAGAAAACTAAGTCTTAAATGGAAAATGACATTGTTTTCGACTTATTTTTACGTGTAGAATTACCACTCGACCATTTATACGACGATTTTTTGGACATGTGACAAATGAAGCGAACACATCAATGAAAAATCGATATATCAACGTTGTATAGAAGTATGATGAAGTGTTGCGTTTTATCGTTCACGCTTCGATTCCTGAATGAAGAATTCATATATAAAGTAAATTAACAATGTGTCACAGTAAAACGTGTGTCAACGTAAACACATTTGGCCATAAATCGTTGAAGAGTACAAAACAAGATAACATTTTTTCTGTAATAAGCATCCACTCGTAATAAGCATCCGCTTTTATTGTTAGAATTTACGTTGAACACTAAATTTATGAAGCATTAACAACTGCTGTTGTATATTACTTTACAGAAGTAACAATAATATATTTATTCGAATTTTGAACGATTGTTAAATGCAATATTTCTCCAAATAATCGTAAATTAAAAAATTTGGAACCAATCATTTTGACGAACCTATACATCCAATGTTAATGAAAGATCTGCGTCTGCAAATTGTGTATAAATCATGATGAATCCTAAAAATATGATGATATTCAATTCTATTAAATTATGATGAATATTATAATAGATACTTCTACTAAAAAATCTATCTAATTTCAGTTATTCTACTTAATTTAACTTTTATACTAAACGTTGATGGTACGACTAATTTCGAAAATTTCTCAGTTTGAAAATAAGATCGTTACGTCGAAGTTAAATTGTAAAATTTACAATAGTAAAAATATTGAAAGAATTTCAAAATATTATTATATTATTTGCATCCTAATAAGCCTAGTAAGAAAGAAAGTTACTTACAATTTCACTCGAGTTTGTTGAAGGTGAGGAAGACAATTTTCATTCTGCATAAAGATCCGCAGACTACTAATTATATGATTATAGAATATTGTAGAAAATTATTGATATTCACAAAAAAACAAGTTAAAAGCAATACTTTCGTTAATAGCATAACATTTACCATTTTTAATTTTGCACATGAGAGTACCAATTTTCAAAAACATCGTACTAAGCTACAAATTGTGAGCAACGTAATAAAATAAACAGTCGAGATGAGACTAATCCATAAAAATACATAGCTGCATGTATTATATTTAATATTCGGACGGCGATACCTGGATTCGATTGAACCTAAGTAAAATGATCTTTTTTGGTTTGTAGTTACGGACTCAGGTAGAAGGAAACGACAAAACTATATTGCGTATGACTTTTCCGCCAGATAACGAAAACCACGGATAATCGGAACCTGATTGATCGCTATTCCACCGTAGTAACACGTTTTTACAAAAATGAAACAAAAAATCTAATTAAGAGATTCAACTGTGTTTACATATTTTATTCGAGTAACGAACAACTACAATTTTAAGCATAGAATTTATTCAAGATATTATTCGAATGAAATTGTATTCGAAAAATTTGGTTTAAATATTGTCCGAATATAATGTTATTCGACTAATCCTCAGCTCTGTAACATGGAAAATCTGTAAATTTGGAAATCTGGAAAAAATCTGTAACATCGAAAAAATCTGTAACGAAAATTGAAGACAATTTGCATTTGTCACAGTAATTGAGATATATTGAACAATTGACACGAAGGAACAAGTATATTTCTTTTGTTTTGCAAGTTATTGTAATCTCCTACGTCATGCAAGTACCTACGTTAGATGTGCAGATATTATATTTGAAGCATTGCGATGTACGTGTTTGGACTGAACTTACCACCACAAAATAAGCATTCTGCATACATTTATTATCATCTTCACTACATGCTTTCTGCGTTTGTATAATACAGAGGGCTATTTCCATTTTACGAATCTCATGAATCCGTTTTGGGCTCTTCAACGAAAATGGCGATTACGATTATCACATTCAATTTAGCAAAATCTAGATTTTATCGTTAATATAAGAACGGATAAACAAATATTGAACGATCTTCCACTGTTCTACTGTTCTGTTGTGTCGGCATGGGTATTACGAAGATTATAGCAACATCAGTAATTAAGCACGTGCGTGCAAAGTTGCACGTTTTCTGATAGTAGAAGTTACGCTTGTTAGCTATAAATCTTCGTATATTTAAAAATTAAAACAGTGTAAGCATTAAAGATTAGTTCGTTCCAAATGCTGTCGAAACGACCATATTTTAATAAAAGAAAGTCAATAAATTCAAACATAATTTTCACTCGTGTTCAACGACATTTGAATAACTACTTGAATTCCGACTAACACCTGTCAATTACCGTTCTAGTACAGCTATTTCGTAACTCAGAATGTAATTATACTTTTAAGAATTAAACGCTTTGTACAGCAGAACCCTGATTAACTGAATTATTCATAACACACGCTGTTTAGATTATCAAACAACTCCTATTTTCGAAAACATTTCATGGTCTGCTTATTCCTAGCCGAAAAGAGATCTCTTTTTTTTAATTCTACATTCAGTCTGTTCGTGAAAAATTGAAGGAATGTGAAAAACTGGGATTCACGCATACAACACACGCGAATACTTTTGACACTTCGTTGATACGAAAGAGAAATATGTTATTCGGTTACAACCCTCATCGCGGATGATGTAACCATCCAAGTTTTAACGATTTTTCAACATTTCTACGTTGCAAAGTACACTTCGTCGAACTCTAAAGCGTCAAGTTTCCGCAATATAAATTACTTATTCTATTAAAACCGGATACTCCCGTCTCTTCGCGAGATCGATAATTTGAACATCTTACAATCATAGAGATACATTATTACGAAATTGCGGATACTATGTATTTGTAAGAAAAATGAGCAAGTGCAATTTAATACAATAGTAAAATTTAAATAACTAATGGATACCGACATACCATTTTTAACTTGTTGAAGTTATTAAAGCTAGGTTTACGGAACCCGTCAAAATGACGTGTAACTTTTTAACGAATGTCAAAATTGTAAAGATATACTTATGGGAAATTTATTCAGTGGATTTGTTTCATTTGACACATGTTATGGTAAAATTCGCCGAAGATCGGAATAAATATATGCTTGTTATTTTCATAAAGCAATATAAAGAACTTCTGTTAACTTACGATTCCTATTGAGATTGTTATTTTGCAAAAGATTCGCGTATAATTATCACAGTACATCATACATTCGCAAGCGCTCTTGTAATTCTCCGTTGTTCGAAATTTCGTCGCGGCGATGAAGGTGCGAGCTGATAGAGGTAAATTCTCAATTAATTAGAAAAACGTATCGACTCACCGGGATGATGCAGCAAACAGCCGAGGAAGCGTAGGATCTATTTAGCGATCTTTTTTACGTTTGGGAGGAGACGAGAGACGAATTACATAACAAAAACGAGGATCTAGTGATTCGACTCGATCCAACACAATACCAGATCGTCTGTCGCGTACTCACCGACTTACTTTACTGAATCTAATTCAACGCTCGACAACGTCCCACCTCCAACGAGTTTTGCGTGATGGCCGCGGCAGGGCGGGAGAGGAAGCGGCGAACTCGTGACGAGTTGTTCATTGTACATAATCGTACACTGTGAAGAGATACACTTATTCAAATCAATTCGCCGCAGCAGGTAACGGGGCTATGTGCAACGCGCAGATAATTAGATCGAACGAAATCGTTTCAATAACAATTAAACAGTCGCACCGTGACAGAACTGCACCAAATATTCCTGGTTACTGAGCCGTGTTCGCCGTTGACTCAACAACCCCAAAAATTACCTACAATCGCTCGCTAGAATTTTCGGACACGCTTGAAAATGGAATACATAACATTTTTAATATTGGGCCAAAGTTTTTGGGATATTAGACGGACCAGACAGCGTCTAAATAAACGTTTGCAAAAATTGCAATTAGTTGCAATGATAAACAATACAAATTTCAGATAACATCTTCAGGAAAGTTCAACAGTGAGTTCTTCTTCAAATTTCTCACAATTATTGGTCAAAAGTCTTAAACGCGATGATTCCTATCTTTAATTGTTTGTAGCACAGAATAACGTTTACTGAGTCCGATGTAACTTGCGGCATGCATAAACAACTCTGACACATATAATTATAAGCTCTTACATTTTTACTATATTTGTAAATTTCTATTTTCGTCACGAGTTTCGATAATTTAACATATTTTATCATAATCTGTAAACACGATTTTGACATCAAAAACTATAAGAAAATAGAAAAATATCATCTTTTCGACTTATCGAAAAACTGTCACAGTCTTCTTATCGAATTTCTTTCGATTTATTTCTACGTATACCATTCTTATATTCAAATAATTAACATAGGGCGATGACAAATTTCCAAGAGATCTTCTCGCGTTAGCGCTCCAAACATTCAATGTGATATAGACTAACAATAAATGCCGCTTTTCTTAATCAAGCCCTTTCTTTTTTCCCCAAAACCCTTTCCAAATACCCACTAATTTCCCACCTTTTCACTTATCTATTCTACAATCGCATAACTTTTCATTTATCTATTCTACAGTCTTACATATAAAAAAAATGCTATACCAGCTGAAACTAATTTTACATCGACAGATTATGTTTAACTTTCTCTCGTCTTTTACCATTCAAGTGAAAACTGATAGATACATGATTATGTCTCATTCTCATTTATTTATTGACTTGTTAATGATTTAAACCAGACGGCTTATTTAGCAAATACAGGATTGTTACTTGTACATATGGCCGATATTACTTATTATTAGTTTATAAATTCTTACTGAACATCGTTTAATGAAATCGTAAATTATTCTTAGTCCTTTTATATCAGGATTACATAAGAAGGAATTAATGCAAGAAGAGGCTATAAAATTAACACTTGCTAATGAAGCATTCAAATTGTAATGATCGTAACGACATCTAACGAATACCATAAAATCTCTGGAATGCATGTGATAAAATCTAAAGTAGTTTGTAGCTTTAACTAGACCTTGCTATTTGATTAAGACGTTGGTGGACAGTATTGCTTGAATTTTGAAGTCTCTGGTTAGGTCAGTGAAGCCTTGATTTCTGATGAATTTAGTAATTTCTTTATACAAGGACACTCAGTAATTGTAATTACGGCTGGTAGAAACCTTAATGATTTACCTGTAAAAGTAACGTGTAAATAGTAAAATCTTGTGATGGAAAAGTGTTGGCATACGCTGCCTTGTCTAACAGTTAAAAGCATTATTACAAGAAAAACAACGAAAGATCCATTCATAAATAAAATGTATGCTTTCATAACACATTATGTTTGTCAATAAAATGTATACTTTTGTAACAGGTTAAATAATGGGGTTAATTAACTTGTAAATATTTATTTCATTTCTCAATCGCTTTAATGAGATAAAAATAAAACGACAGTGTTTTTAAATTCTTCAAATGTTTTCACAGTTTCGTATTTGATTTACTCATTTTTGTCATAAATGCGTAAAATCTGCAGTCTATTTATTATGTATTTGAACATATTTTGTAATTGAAACAAGTAAAATTTTGTAAATAATTTTAAATGAGGTGTTAAGTTTGTAGTTAAAAAGTTTATACTCTTCCATGAGAAATTTTACTTCCAGTAAACATAGTGTTTCTTACGAGGAATCAATTCTTTTGCTTGATTTTCAAGAAAACGTCAATAACGTGCAAGTCTCACGTGTCCTCGAGCACGTGGCCTCGTAGCGCTTTCCAATGATTCAACGATTAATGTCCCGGAAAATTATTAGTATTAGTAATTCGAAATTGTTGATGTTTTCTCTTTTGAAGCCATTTTCCAAATAATATTATTGAAAGTTTCATTTGCATTTCGTGTAAAATCATCGATGTTTATTGTAAAAAATCCTTCTTAGGCCAAATCCATGTACATTCATAAAATTGTATCTTTTAAAATATCTGGTAAAAAAATATACTCGTGTTTGCGATCCTTTGACAGATTTTTGGCTTTTGTTTTCGACGTTTGTTTACCTATCGTCTTCGCTACCGTCAATTCGACCATTTTATCTTGATGCGAACCAAGAATCTAACGCGAATTGCTTGCGATAGCTTAAACACACAAAATCGAATACGAATGATTATTACAAAATCACTTTAAAAAAGTATATGCATTGTAAGAAATAAAAACAGAAAAATATATGCTGCATGTTGACTGCTTCTCTGCCGCCATTTTCAGACGAAGAAATAAGACAAAAATTTTTATCAGAGCCAAAGAAACTTTCACTTGTTTTTCTTAAAAACTAAGGTCCATTTTACAGAAAGTCGTTAAGATTTTTCAGTACTAGGTACACATTACAGAATTTATATATTTTTTTTCACAAAAACGAATTTAAATAACTGAAAAAAACAGTTTCATATTAAGAAGTTTGGGCGACAAGTACTAAGCGACAAGTAAATCATTAAGAATTAACATATCTTTAAGTGCAATAAATTCAAATTAAGTAATAAACTTGCTAAGCTTGCGATTGTAAAGAAAAACAAAAGCTTAAGGTTAAATCCATGAATTCACTTTTGAGTTGTACCGACTTAATATTTCCATAATAAATAGACTGTGGATTTTATGGATTTGCAATGTAAATAAAGGCGGAGAAATACATGGATACAAGAACATGATCGATTAGGAAAGTTTTTATATTATTTTTATCTTTTACACATCCCTGGATATAATAAAATGTGTAACATCATAATCGAATTTATTTACAAAATGATTAAATTATTTCTAATTACGTTATTCATAGTGTCGACAATACAGGGTGAGCTATTTAAGTAGCATACCTCAAATAACGTTTGAATTGTGCATTTTCTGAAAAATTTTATACAAAATTGTACGGTATACGTTTTACGTTTATTTATTAGTTTCAAAGAAGTGAAACTATGGCGTATTTTTCGTATTTAACTTTATTAATATACTATCTCCTTTTAAGGAAAAAAAAATGTTCATTGTATGCTTGTTATGATAAACGAATTTTCTACTAAATTCATGACTCATCAAACTCGAGAAATTCTCACTGCAACAAATTGCGTTGTCCAGTTTTATAGTTTGTTGTTGGATGATTTTTCTAATCGCAGTTCATGTTTTCAAAACTTTCGAGAACGAATATTTGCATAAACATCCGCTTGATAAGTTTTCTGATTTTCAGTTACCTGATGCTTTCTTATATTTTCGGTGATAATATCGCTCCTCACTAAGCAAGAGATATCTGGTATCTCATTTTCGGCTATTCTTATCTTCAGATTGCTCAGAGCATGTGTCGTTTAGTTGCATAATTGCTTCGCGTACGGGAATTAAATCGGAGGGCAATTTTACACGTAATATTCTAATCATTAATCTATGTGATAAAAGTTCAAGTGCATATTAAAGATTCCGTAAATGTCTTTGTTTGCCAGATTTCAAAAAACAATACAGCAATAATAATTTAAAGATTTTAAAGCAGTGGTAGCACAAAGATTTTAAAACAATAATATCACAAAGATTTTCAAACAATACTATTGTAAAGATTTTAAAATAATAATAGCACGATGATTTTCAAACAATAATAATGCAAATATTTTTAAATCCAATAGGAAAAACGTTGATGAAGTATGCTGAGGAGTAAAATCACAGCCGAAGATTGTTCGGCTACGATACCTGGATTATTTCCAGGCGATTTGTAGTTCAGTCTATTTGTTTGGATTTCACAGTGGCTCGTATTGCGTGTAGTTCATACTGAATCGGCGAGTTAAAAGCATTACTACGTTGATCATTCCGTATCCATTCTCCCAACATGAAACTATGAAACATTCCGTGGCACTTTATCACCGATGTATTTACACGGTAAGTAATTGCTCTAGCATAGCTACGAAATAATTACCGGCAATACCTAATTATTTTTAAATATGTTACGTGCATCAACTGCAGCGACTGCGTGCGAGTTGATATTGAAACATGACGTTGCCTTCCAAGAGAATATAGTACATATTTTCCTGAATAAAAACGAGTAAACAAACTGTTATTTCGTTCAATTATCAATAATTAGCTTGAGTAAAATTTATTGTCTGAATAGGAAAACAAATCAACGTTTAATAGAATACACAATTCGCACCCAATGGATTTTAAAACCGTGCTCTATCCAGAAATCTGTTTAAATATGGCGCTCTTTCTATCGTTCTTCCTGCCACATTAATATTTTTACCTCTCGCTCCTTTATTGGCTCATTCGGCTATCATCATGTTTATATAAATGTATTTTAAAAGCTTATTTTCGTCTGTGCATATTAAAATTTAATTATTAAAATTTAACTATTTTAAAAACACAATTATGTTTTATTAAATTCGTTAAAATTGATGAGGAATGAAACAAATCTCTATGTAGCTCCAGTATCTTGCAATCATTGCAATTTTTATTTTGTATAAAAATCCGCTGTTTAATTATAACTATAGTGGTTTGGCAGTGGTGGTGTGTGATGATGTTGGGGAGAAAAGGAGAAGAGAAGACGTTTCTCTCGTTCGGGACCCGCTAGAGGACTCAATCAGTAAGGCTATCCTAGCAGACCCTTGCCTTAGACGTTGGATACAAATTGAGGCGGATCGGTTACTTGCGGGAAGAGGAGCCATCTGCTGGCGGGTCTGGAGGTAGCCGCCACAGTGGCATCAGAATTTTTTCAGATTTTTCGACTTGATGCTTCATAATCAAAAAGAATAAAAATCAATTTTTTCTTTGTCCTCCTCGTGATAAAAGCAACTTGTGCTGAAATTATTTCCTTATTTTCAAATAAAAACTCTAATGAAAAATATCATGTATTTTAGTTAATTTTGATTTTATTGATTTTATCATATTTTAATTGCTTAATCTATTATAAAAAATAATAAAATATTAATGAAAACTAATAAAACTATGTTTAGGTGCAATTACTTCAGCAATTACGTACTATTCTA